TGAAAAATTATGTATAATTCAGAGGTATAATTTAGTAAATCTATTTTTATTTTTACCCTCGGTGCGCGAGTCCGATTCGCATATGGTCTGTTTTACTTTTTTAACAAAAAATGATAAAATATGTGAATCACTTGTAGCCAGGCCCAACTATTGAGCGATAATATGGAATTGTTATGATTTTCAACTAAATTTAAAATCATTTTTAACGTATTATTTTGTTCAATACTTCAACACAATTGGACTGATCTCCTCAATGATTAGTCCCGATTTTGTATTATTTTCTTATTAAGTGGAATTTCTTCCTTTTATTAGGTGTCATAGGTATATTTTTTATCTTGTAGATACACGATGATAAGAATGGATGAATAAAGAAAATATTCATTACTTTATCGAGCCAGTTACCTTAGATAGGCATTTAAACAGAGACTCCCTTAAGCAAATTCCACTACAATTTATATAAAATGATTCCTTATATTAAGCAAGTTACAGATTCATGGAATGAATTTAAAAATAAGTTATAGCGTTCTTAGTCTTTATCTTAGGGTTCAAATTCCGGGAATGCGGTTTATACAACTTTATTATCATAGACAAACTTATCCTACTCAAAAACATTTAATGTAAAATGTTGCCAAGACGACATGATATGGCTCGCACCGTCAAAAAGTTTTCAGATCTTTTGTAGAGCGAACCTTCTCACTACTCATTAGGGCACTAATTGTACAAGCCTTAACTTTACAAACTCTTAAGTCTACACCTTAGTTAAAATATGTGGTTTACCCCCCATTTTAAGAGAAGGAAGACTAAAGGTACCAAGTTTTAGAATATTTCTGTTATCTGTGTACTAATACAAAAAAATCTTTATGTTTCGATTTTATTGAAGATAAAAATTTTGGATTATTATTTCTCTTTTTTCAGGTGTTCCTTTTATTAAGATTAATTGACGTCTGTTTAATTTTTTTAATTACTCTACTATAGATACAGTGTGAGTGACCTTCTTTTATTAAATCGTAACAGATACCGATACAGATTTATTCCGCGTAATTCTTATCTTTCTTAGAAGTAATATTCAATTGACTATCTACTATTAATCCCCACTGTGTCCACGTGGTTGGTTATGGTCTACTCCATCTACAAGGAAGACGTCCCTGCAGCTGGGACATAATTAGACCAACGATGATGATAATTAAGGCGTGTTTTTTTTTCTTTTTTCTCTTTCCCTTTACCACCATTTCTTAATTGAATTGCTACACTTGCCTACTTGCCAAAGAGAGCAAATCATTGCATTCATATATTTGATCTTAACACTTTAGCGAAACAATGGTTTCGTGTGTGTTGCGTTAAATTAATAATTTGATGGATGTGTTTGCATGTTCTCAGTTAAAAAAAAAAAACTAATAATAGATCGTCTGGCGGTTCAGTGACTTAAGTTTCGATTGTGTTGTAACGTTGTGTGCTTATGGAGGAAAGGATTTAAGAAGTGATAAAATATCTATCAGAGTGATGTGTAAGCCTTTCGGATCCCAGTGCGATTGCAGTGCAAACCCAAAGTGAATTGACGGTTTTGTTGAATGAATCTTATTAAGTATATAATTTGCGGTGTCATTTTTTAGTTGAATTTGCAGAATGACTGCTTAAATACACGTATTCATTTAATTAAAACTGAGAATTGACTACTTTAGGGATATTTATTAATAAGTACCTTATACAGACTTTTAGATAAAACTAAGTCTATAGCATATACTAGCTGTTTTCTAATATATCACCAGCCTATAGTCACCCGCGTATGTTAGTTTCCCGTAGGTGAATGATTTTCATGATCGGATCAGAATTGTTGATTACTCCTTAAACCCCATACAATGATAATACCCTTTTTTATCATCAAAAAGATTACCCCTTACAATAAGAAAACAAACAAAGTTAGAAACTGTTCCCTCTCTATAATATTAGTAAGGATTAATCAATCGTGGCATTCCGTTACCATCTTTCGTCAGCAATAAACCGAGCCTAAATCAATCAGAATATTTATGAAAGTAACTGATATATCGATATATTAATCTATTTAATAATAACTAGCTTTTGTCCGCGACTTCGTCCGCGTGGTAAAGTTACTTTGAGCAGAATTTCTGTCGAATATTTATTCATTATATCGTGTTAAATACCTGAAATAAAGGTCCATCCCCTATTTTATCCCCTTAGAGGTGGAATCTATCAAAATGCTTTCTTAGGGATGCCTACGTCAAAGTAGCATGCAGTCTCAGTCCGGTCGGTTTAAAATTGACAAAGTTTCATCCCCTATTTTATCCCCTTGGGGGTAGAATTAACCAAAATCCTTTCTTAGAGGATGCCTACTTCAAAATAGCTTTATGCATGCAAAGTCTCAGCCCGAACGGTTTAAAATTGACAAAGTTTCATACAAACTTTCATCCTCTATTTTATCCCCTTGTGGATAGAATTGATCAAAATCCTTTCTTAGCGGACGCCTACGTCATAACATCTACCTGCATACCAAATTTCAGCCCGATCCGTCCAGTGGTTTGGGCTGTGCGTTGATAGATCACTATGTCAGTCACCTTTGAGTTATACTAACTATTTTAAGTATATATTCAGATAGAATAATTTTAAAATGAACTTAAACTATTACGTCAATTTTGAAAATATATAATTTGGACATAACATTACATTATTTAATATTGCCGTCATCGTTAATTATGTGTAATTTTGTGGTCGTAAGAACGATGAAAAGTCGTAACTATAAAGTGACCTTCAATTTATATTAGCTCGTTTGATGTAATTATTATGTAATATATTAAGAGCCATTTTCCATAAGGATTGCTTATATGCAGTTTTTATGTACACAACTTTATTAATAGAAATCAAAATAACAAAAGATAGGCGTGGCATAAATTTTTAAGAAGTTACCTACAAGCTATTACTATTACCCTCGTAACTTCCCTTATTCTTCCTATCATCGACTATGTTGATATCTGTTACCCTGATTTAAATGAAGATCTTCTCAATAAGTTGGACCGCCTTGTCAACAATGCAATTCGTTTTATTTTCTGCCTTCGCAAGTATAATCATGTTTCGTGTTATCGGTCTCAACTAAAATGGCTTCCTATTCGTCAGCGCAGACAGCTACGACTGCACTGTATGCTCTTTTCCATACTTTCTAACCCTAATTCTCCAAACTACCTTAAATGTAAATTTCAATACCTTTGTGATTCTCATGACAGACAACTGCGTTCTGCTAATACACTTGCATTATCTACTCCACTTTTCCATTCTGGCTTTATGGCCGACTCTTTCACCCTGCAAGCCATACGACTGTGGAATGGGGCCTCCCCGACACCATCAGACGATCTCCTGACAAATTCATCTTTTAACGGAAAGCTCACACTTTTCTCCTGGAACGTTTATGAAGATCATCATCATATATGTATTATATTTATGTATTTGTATATATACTTATGTTTATGTGTAGTATAATATTTATTTATGTTTACATAATTGTATATAAATTCTTCTGAAGTTTAGTTTAAGAAGTATATTTATAAGTTAACTTTATGCCGCCATCGTGTATTTCTGTATACCAAAGGTTGACTGGTAGAGAATGCTAATAGCATTAAGTCCGCCTTTTGTACCAATTTAATGGACAATAAAGTTGTTAAATAAATAAAATAAATTATTGTTAAAGTTGTATATAATTCCCTTCAGTACAAAGTGACTCGTTTAACAATTTTCTATATAAGAAAGGGTATAATTAATTACAACAAGAAATGACAGAGCCCTTAAAATATTATGTAACTTATTTAAATAACAGTTCATTTAGAAGTTATTTATTACAAAATTATTTGTTATTAAGTGATTTTTGGTGAACGCGCTCTTCGAAATTTATATTTTGATAAGATTCTTACTGTAGATCTCTATTGAATGACACTCAAACCCAGTAACTGATCTGCTCTAACTGTACTGAACTGAACTAACTGAACTGATATTTGATCCCTTTTGTAAGACTTCATGAGTCTTAATTGACTGTATGTGGTTGCCACAGAACATAGAGAGGTGGTTGCATACAATAAGACTTGACGTTAATGCTTCTGATAAACGATATTTCGTTTCATTTAGGCCTCTTACATATGAATACAAAGTAAGGTTAAAATTGTAAATAATTTGATTTTTTTTCGTATTTATATTGGATGGTCATAGAAATTCTTTTACTTTTGAAGCTACATCATACACGGGTGACACAGGCTATAAATTTACGCGGTAAAACAGGCAGTATGATTGTACATGAATATGGACCGATTATAACACATGTTTCTTCACATTTCTTTATTTTCGCGTCACTTCATTTGTTGGAGGTATGCCGTCAATTTAGCGAATTTGCTCGTCTTGTTACAAGCGATGAAATCTAGCATGTCGATTCTCGGGTGTTCTTAATCAAAACTTTCTTTTACGAACACATCGCTTACCATTTTAAAGCTTCTTCATCTTAGTACTTAGTTATAGCATAGAGAAGCCGGTGTCACTGATGTCTTAATATATTTCCAAGAATCAAGATATCCAACCTGCAGGTTTTAAACTTTCTAAAGTACTACCTGATTAGGAGATCACCATTAACGTTAAAACTCGCGGATGAATTTAATTAATTAAGAGGTCATATCACCACGTATTTGAAAAAGAGAAGTAATGTAGATATTTGTGACGTATTCAATTGGTAAATGTCCGTGTTCAATGTAATAAACTGAATGCAATGTCATTCGATTTGATAAAAGTTACCATTGACCCATTTTATTATCTTAACAATAATTCTGTCAAACAAATGCAGGAGTCACCTTCTCGTTATCAAAATAGCATATTGATGAAGGAAATATTTTCAAATTAAACAGGACAAATATTACTTAACTCTGTATTAACATAAATGCGTCGAGATTCCTTCGACCATAACTAATATGCTTTTCTTTGTCGAATTATATTCAAATTTGTTATCTATTGCATAGGAAATAGAAGCTATCGAGGAGCAATGGAGGACTGAGTCGGCCGAGCTGGTGACAGCGGTCGGCCGTCTCCAAGATGAGAATAAGCGCCTGAGACGTACTATCAATGCGCCCGCAGATGGTAAGTCGATTATAATTGGTCATTATTTTGTTTACGAATAAGAGCGAGTTCGTATAAATCTTGTTACGTTAAAGTACGTGAAATCATTTTCCTATAAATAATGGAAAGCTATTCTGAGATAAATTATAGAAGTATATATTGTAAGAATTTAACACTAGAATAATTACCAATCAGACTTCTACCCTCCTTTTCACCCTATTATGGAATGGTTTCTGAAACTATTCTGTGGTCTTTCCGGGGTTTCATACCATTCTCAGTTCAACGGAACGATTTACAGACAGAAAAACTGGAAGAGTTACTTTTGTATCATATTAAGTAAGGATTAGTAAGTATAACTATAATACTCTACATTATATAAGATGCTTTTTTCAAACTATATTATAATATGCTATTATATTAAACTGCACCAGTTGTCCATAAAATTTCTTATTAAATATGGTGAAATAAAAATTGACGTTGATAATAAATAATGAATAACTGACCTTGTCTCTTTTCGATTCGGTGTAAACGAAGTGAGAGGTATATTAAACTTTAAGTAAGGTGTACTCAACAAAACTCTTTGGGCACTGCATCATAAGGTTTATTTTTCAATGTTGTTACATAGTATTATGCTAACCGAGCAATTCGCGCTACAATTTTCGGTATCTTAGGATAGTAAACGTTGCGAGGAATTTACTGACACAGCTTATTAATATTCCTTAGAGCTTTAAAAAAGTGATGCCGATCTTTCTCTAACATTATTCTGGAATGAAAAATTATTAACATTTACTTGACGTAGACGAATATTTCAATATTTTGTGTTTGTGTAATTTTAAACTCTATCAACTTCATCGTTATGAAGTTTGATGACCAGTAGACCTATAGACAAAATAATTCATTTTAAGAACAAGGGGCCATCCATAAATTACGTCACACGTTAAGGGGGGAGGGAGGGGGTCGACGAAGTGTGACATTGTGTGACTAGGCGGTGGGAGGGTCTTAAATTTCGTGACGTCACATTTTAAAATCTATTATAATCTTAACACGAACTTTAATTATAACTTTACAAAAACCTTGCCAAATATGTGACATCACACTAGGAGGGGGGAGTCTTACAAATGTGACCAGCTGTGACTAGGACGGGGGGAGGGGCAAAAAAAATCATGAAAATCGTGTGACGTAATTTATGGATGACCCCCAATTACCTGGATGTAATATATCTTATACGGAAATACTTAAAAATTCAATAATTTCAGGTGCTTAAGATGGTTTAATTTTTTAGGGTTCCGTACTCAAAAGAGTAAAACGGGAACCCTAGTTACTAACACTTCGCTGTCTGTCTGTCACCAGGCTGTTCTTATGAACTGTGAAAGTTAGACAGTTGAAGTTTTCACAGATGATGTATTTTTGTTGCCGCTTAGTAACAAATACTAAAGATCAGAATTAAATAAATATTCAAGAAAGCTCCCTTACACCAAACTTAATTTTGTTGTGTCCGGTACGGACCCCTACATGCGCGAGTCCGACTCGCATTTGGTCGGTATTTTTATGAAACATCATTACCTACATTTATTAAAAGTAGGTCTCTGAATCTGTCATTTCCTGTATTTGTTATTCTTTTTAACTTTGTCCTTGTAACGGTTCGTCGTACATTATCTTCCTAGGTTAAACTTCTTTAAGTCCCTCTTTATTCGTAATTTCAGTTATTGTAAAACTTACTACTGGATTTCATATATTTGCATATACTGTTACAGTTTTTTTTTATTATACCGGTAAAAATATACATTCCAGATTATTCACGTATTTTAAATTCCCCCACGACCTCCCTTTTCATAGCGGTGTCTCATTCTTAACCAAGACGGATAAGGGTACTGATATTATGTGACGGTTTATCACCCGATCAAAGTAGAGACAGTCTAAAGGAGGCACGTTTTATACCTAGAAATAACTTGTAATACTGCTAATAATATAAAGGCTAAAGTTTGTATGTTTGTTATTCTCACGCAAAAACTATGAACGGATTTGGTATATGGATTATTCTATGATGGATTAACATATATGCTTCTTTTTATACCATTAAACAGGACTCCGCGGGCGTAGCCGCTAGCGGAAAGCTAGTAAATATAAAAATGAGAAAACTTTCAAATTAAGGGTTCTGTCACATTTAAAACGCGAAATTATAAAATTTTCCCTTTATTTCAAAAACATCATTTTTCTATCTCCACTTTAATATTCTAGACAACCGTCTGCCACCGTCCGTTTTAGTCCGGATCGATGCGAGAGTTCTGCGGATATAAAGGTCTTAACTTTTAAATGACTTCATTATAATAGTTGCTGGATGGGAATAAAAATTGGTATAATAATTTTATATGATACTAACATGACAATCTTAATTAAAATTTTGGGTTGTTTCGTATTCGTCCTATGACTCATCCCATTTATTTACTCATCCAAAATTAGTATTCCTAATTCTTTCTTAACGTAAGAAATACTCACATTGAAGCAAATATTAGTAAAAAAGGGTAAGGATAGCACAACAACGTTTTATATTTTTTCGGAAAATTATTATGTAGAAATACTTATCTAATATAGTACATGAAATATGCATGTTCAGTTACTAACAACTATATACTTACACTAGCTTTCCGCTAGCGGCTTCGCTCGCGTCGGTCTTGTATTTTACATAAAAACTTTCCTTTTGAATCATCCTATCTATGAAAAAATCCGCATCAAAATCCGTTGCGTAGTTTTAATAACGCGTTTAGGATGTTGTTGGGGCTCCCGCGGTTCTGAAGTGCTTCAGGCATGTTTGCAGAGGCACGCACAGACGGGTTCAAGCGTGTATACGTAAGAAAATAGCGTTCTTACTATACAGAACACGCATCAGTACCAACATCATCCTACATAAAATAGCTGGAAAATGGGATAGTCCCTTTTTCATTCACTGTGCCCGAGTATTGATGAAATAGGAAACTATTCCATCAATATTCGATCCTTTATTAGTTACTTGAGTATGTCTACAGCTTACATACGTTAAGTTCATACTACCAATAATATGAATCTTTTGATGTTCGAAATAAAAAAATATTTTTATTATTATTAAAGATTTAAGAATACATAGAGGCAGATAAAGCGACTTTGTTTTATGCTATTTAGTGTTAATTATCATCAACCAATTAATGTTTTCATTGCTGGGGCATAGAACTTACCAATGGATGCAATTGAATCAAGTAGAATAGCGTAAATATATTCTGACGCTAAACCTTGTATGCACTGAAAGTGTTTAGAATATACTAGTTTTTTTTTTTTTTTGCATAGGAACAAGCGCGCCTCCTTCGCCAGCCAGAGAGCATGACCAAGAAGTTCTTTCGCGACTCAGCAGCACTGCGGAGAAACAGAGGGCGACACTCCGCCACCAAGAGTTGCAGTTGCAAGATAAGCAACAAGTCATCGATGGGGTGAGTTTATATCTTATCTGATTCTCCAATGAGGGTGTTGGCAGTCTACCAGTATTATTGCATATGTTTAATAGAAACAGTGCTCTCTTTGTGGGAACGCGTCCAAAATTGTCGAGTGCAAATTGAATTTTTATCGAGTACAAATATCTGCCGAACACATGGCCAGTTTCACAAACGTACATTAAATTTTTCATTAGTTTACAGCGACATTACCCGTACAGATTTGACATTCATTAGAACTTAAAGGCGTCATTAAACCTAAATGGACGTTTGTGCATCTGACCGTTAGTATTGAAATACTTTAATATTTAAATACTTTTACGACTTGCGAAGTGCAATCGATAATATTCGCGCTGTCCTGTTCTAAAGCTTTGCATGACAATGTGAAGACTACAAAGTTACTTATTTGAATTACATCATTACATGCAAACGTAGTTTTTCCATATTTTGTGGTGAATCACTTGACTTGTCACTAGTGGGGTATCTTGATTGTATTACTTTTAAATATTTTATGGCTATATATGATACACATAGTTATTGTTTGTCCTCTTTTCTCAATCCTATTTGAGGTCGGGCTTGAAGTGTCAAAGTGTCGTGTGCTAATCCCGTCTCAAATAACTTCTGTGTTATAATATTACACTGCCATCGTATTTTTGGATGAAGGAGTACCGAAATATATACTTTTTATTAAGTATGTTCTACTTGGCGTAAATAAGATTATGTTACATTAGCACTTTGCGCAAGTGATCAGCATCTTGGCTATCTTTAATGTTCTTTTTCAATACTTCTTTCTTCTTTACTTCAGCCAATTCAATTTTATTAATATTACACCTAAACGTCCACATTGGTAGAAACAGTATAAAACTTTGTTCGGTAAAGTTTGAGAATTTTTATTTGAGGTGGTGAATTTTAACAAGCTTTTATTTAACTTCCTTGTTAGTATTTGGGATCAAATCTTAGAACTCTAATTTGACCCACTTCTTAGAACTTTAATTTGATATTTTGTATAGACATGCGAGTCAGATGACAATGCAATATTATGGTGTCAGTAAGCTGATATGATTATGAAGTCGGAAGGTCGTCATAGGGACTTAGTGATGAAATGACGCAACTGCATCGTGTTTGGGCTCTTTAGATCCGTCGTTATGAGCAAAACACTATGTGATGAGACAAAGTTAAAAAGTAAAATATAATAAAAAGGTGTTTTAAAAACAAGCTTTTATTTGTGCGCAGTAAAACTTATAAATCAAAATTTTCTCTGACAGTAATTGACTTGAAAAACTTGTAGCGCTAATGAAATCGGAGACGAGGGAATACACACATTCTTTACGCGCTACAAGCTTTTCAAGTCAATTACTCTTAAAGAAAATTGTGATTATAAGTACTTTCAATGTTTTGTTTAACTTTTGAGGAATCTACTCAAAACTTTGGTTTGTCTTTCAAAGTAAAGTCATAAAATATTAATGAGTTTTCACAGTTCTTGAAAATATGAGCATTCAGAAAAATTATGGTTATTTTACTAGTTAATGGAACAGAGTCTCAAAATATTATCATTTCGTCTTGTATACATGTTTTTTAGGTTACGTACCCAACGGGTAAAAGGGAACCTTATTAGTAAGACTCCGCTGTCCGTCCGTTTGTCTGTCTGTCTGTCGATGTATTTATTTAATATGGCCGCCATAACAACAAATACTGAAAATGGAATAAAATAAATACGTAAGGGCTCCCATGTAACAAACGTGATATTTTTTCATAGATAATTTACGTGGGCAAGTCCGTTTCGTATTTGGTCTATAATTTCTTTCGCTACTAATTCTCAAGCTTCAATTATTCCGATATGAAAGAATAAAAAATATTATAGTTATTTATTAAAATTAATTAATATTTAAACTTTCGGTTATAATAACCAAAAAAAATCAACACTGTCGTGGAGCGTCCTCACTCCTAATCCCACCATATCATTTTGAAGACTGATAATATTTAAATTACTTATTTTAAACACAAAAAATCTTGCAAAATATTTGATTTTTCTATGTATCTATCTAGAAATCTACCGAGTTCATCTATCTTTCAATAAATATTTATGAAATATTAGACAACATCACATACATTGCTCAGATTCTAAGATGAGTAACTAAAGCTCTCATATAATGAAGTATCTGCACTGGTATCTCAGACAACGAAGGTTCATTTGGGTCAATGGTCCGGGTTCGATTCCGATCACCGATCCGATCACCCGGGAATCGAACCCGGAACCTCAGAAATGGCGACACTTTGAAACCGGCGTGCGAGCACTCGGCTGCGGAGGTCGGTAATATATTTGGGACTTTATAATATAATTGAGAACCTTTAATTATTGTCATGTATTAAAATAGATTTAAATTATTGTAGACCTATTTTAAATCTGACCATTTTAATGTAAGACCACATTTACCGAATTAAGTCCAACGAAATTAAGGTTCGACGGCTCCTCATTCGTCTCAACTAGGTCAACTTAATGAGCAAATTCGTTATGTAGATATATTTATTAAAATTCAACTCTATTTAAAAGGTGGAAGATACATTTTAGAAATACTTGTAGCACTGGGGGTAAGGTAAGCAAATTAGATAGGTGACAGTTTATTGCCTGTTAATTGGATGACGAATAAAATTATTGCTTGGAATTTATTTTAGTTTTGTAAAAATAATGAATAAATATATTGTATGTACGTACGACTGAAATAAAATATTAACAATACAAACAAACTTAATAATAATAATGTATTGTAGATTGGTCATGAGTGTTGTATGGCATCCAATTTCCTGTTACTATGTTTGTTTAGGGAAAAATGTTTAACGTTTATATACGTAACTGACATCGATTGAATTGGTTAATCTGTTATCTCCGCAACGAGCGTTGTTATTTTTTGGACAAAATATAAAAGTATTTTAATTTTTAAAATAGGTTACAAAAAAGTAATTTTCATTATAAACGAGACAGTAAAATACAAATTTTATTGCTCATATGATTTCAAAATTATTAAATAAAATGCTAGTCTTTACAACAAAACATCAAGTCCTTGGAAAAAAGTTATTGGCTTTGTTGCAGACGGCATGATCATGGACACTCAAATGTGAACGACCATGTAAGAGGGTGCGTAAACAAAAAATCATAAACATTCAACTGGTTTTGTACAAAGAAATAATGTTCAAATAAGCGGTAATTAAAAAGCGGTGATTATGTCACAGCCAAAACGTGAAATTATAAAATTTCAAAAATTCAGTTTCACGCTATACTTCATCATTTTTTTTTCCATTTCTGGTTATTATACATTTTTATTGAATAAACGTTTCAGTAATTTTTGTAGCCGAGACATTTATTACAATTACCATAATAGTTTGTGGGAAAACTAATTATAAACCGTTTTTATAATTAATTATAAAATATGAAAAAATATTCCAGTATTCCGTTCATTTGGTTGTGCATATTTGGTAAACCTCACTATTTTTAATTTATATGTAATTATAGTATTAATTAAATAGTGCGGGGACATTCGTAGGTATTCTATTTAACCTAAAAAAATAAATATATGAAGTCGATTAGTTAAGCAACCTGTAGATACAAAATGCTTTAATTTTGTAAAAGATGCACTTTTAGCTCGATCTTATTTTTTGCTTTTTTGAAACATTTTATTTCATTTTTACACGGTTAACGTTATTGTTTGTTCACGATTTTTTCTTCATCATGTATTATGAGTTTCATTTTCAATAATGAACGAACCTTAAGTGCAAATATTTGAAATATTTCAACTAACAATGTGGAGTATTTTATGCTTGTTTTAGAGAAATAAGTAGTTTAATAGAGATTGTGAGTCTGTTACCACAGATGAGTTCATTTACGTATTTTTTTTTAATATGGTATCGATACCGAGTACTCATGTGGTATCGAGGGTCATGGTATCGATACCATAAAAGTATCACTCCCAAAGTATCGATACTACTCAGTATCGAGTATTTATCGACATCATTAAAGAAGGCTAATCCTAAAAAAAAAACAATCTACCAGACGGACAGACAAACAAAAATTTGTAAAATGTGTATGAAATATTGTTATAAAATATTTGTTTTTGGGAAACGTAATAAAATTTAAAAAAAAAATGTCTATAACGAAAATATAGTTTATTAAAAAAATCAATTGCCTTTGCCTTTCCATTTCAAAGTAAATGGAAGAAGAGAAAAAAGAAAAAACAAAGAAAAAAAAAACCGATCCAATACTTCCATACATTTATACAATTCAGTCATACATTATTTTTATGGCAGCCAAAAGGGTAAAAGTATAAAAATAAAAACCAAAGAGTAAAAGTATAAGATTTAAGTTGAAACGTCAAATGCAAACGCCTATAGTATATATTCTTTAGCAAGAATACTCGATACCAGCAATTTTGATGAGTACTTGCGAGTATTTACCTTTTTGTAGTATTGAGTACTTAGTATCGAGTTTCGCTTTTGAAAGTATCGATACCTACTCGGTATCGAAAGTATCGTTCGAACCCTTAAATAAAAAGAATTTTGAGTTGGAACAAATTGATTTATTACACAGATCTCTCTTAAGTTATTCTTTCGATTTATAGACCAGCATCAACTCATTATCCGATTCATATATTAACATGTACGTGACTCATAGTGATGTCGTGACAAATCTTCGCATTTTTTTTTAATATTCGACGTAAATATGATCTCATTACAATCCGTCTCTTGTTAACTTCACTTTTGGTTGAGTTTGTCGTTAAAATAATGTTCATTTGTAAACGACTAACGTAACGTTAGTCGTTCTCACGGCTATAGAAATTTTTCTTTCTTATTCTATGCAAAGAGTGTTGTTAGTCCAATTATTTTTACAACTAAAGTCTTTAAAATATTATTAAAATGTTGGTGGACGCCGATAGGGTTGTATTTGTTTACGTGAAGTTTTGTATTTGTATCGAATATTAATTGTTCTTATATACATGATCAAATAGGAA